CAAACTCCTTCGGAATGTGAGTCCTTGAGCCAGACAGAGCCTGGGTCGTTGTGCGAGAGCGTTTCTCGTTTATTAAGGTCGAGAAATCTCGGGTCCTGTTTAGTGTTATCTTTGATGTTCAAGGGCGGGGTGGAAACTTCTCTGTGTTCATGTGACCCAGTTTCTGTGCTTTGAAAATGCGGTTCCTTTCTCTTGCCCTGCTCCCTGTGTCTTTGAGACCAGGCGGCAGGGCCCTCTGGAATCATCTCTGTGTCCACGTGCTCTGGCTCACGCCCTGTGTCCCGGTGGGCGGACGACCCGTGTGGCGTCTTTCTTAGAGGTTCCACGGGCTCGTTGTCGTGACTCGCCTGTGTGGCGCACCTGTGTCCCAAAGCCCACCTGGGCCACCCCCCACTGACATGAATCCAAAGCCTTTTGTTCTCCTGGGCTGTGAGCATAACCACGTCTCCCGCGGCCTGGACCCCAGCGGACCTCCTTGGCCTCTCGGTCCTTCTGTGATGTCGGCCCGGGAAATGGGACTTAGGAGCTCAGGGTCTCTGCGTACACCCACAAGTATGCGCCTCGTGTATACGTGAGGACTTCCTCTGAAAGAGGTCTTTTCCTGTTTCCTTTTTCTGCCTTTGAACCCGACGGGCTGGTTAAAATGGCTTTTGTAACTCGTTACATCGTGCAAACCAGTTGCCGAAACGGGGCGGCTGTTGTCTCGGCTGGCCTGGGCGACCGGTGGGCGTCATCTTCAGAGTATTGCTGGGAGAGTGGGGGTGGGGACTTCTCAGAAACCCACCTGAGCATCCTTTACGCGTCAAGGTGGTAACATGTGTCTGGATCTTGCACGGAGTCAGGCTAAGGGCTTGGGGGTGAACAGACGGCTGTGCGTGGGGCCAGTTCCTAGGATGCGCCCTGTGGGGGTCGGATTAGGTTGTGTGCGTGCGAGGGGCCGACCGCCGGGCAGACCTCCAGACCGGATGTTGTTGGCAAAGCATTCACTTTTTCTTTCCTCTTTTTCCTTTTCTTTTTCTCTTTCTTTTCTCTACTTTTTTTTTGTGGTGAAACATACATAACATCAAAATTGATCATTTTAACCCTTTTTAAGTGTGCTTTTTCAGTGGCGTTCATTCCATTCACAGTGTTGTTGTGCAGTCACCACCCTCCCATCTCCTGAAGCTGCTTTTCTTCGGGAACTGGAACTCGGTCCCTGTTAGGGGAACTCCCCCTCCCCCCTCTTCCCCCTCCCCCCACCATTCCACTTCATGTCTCTGGATGTGACGACTCCCGGTCCCTCAGTGTGTGAGTAGAATCGTACAGTGTTTGTCCTGTTGTGAGTGTTTCAAGGAGCTGATGCCTTCCGGGTTCACCCATGTGGTAGCTGGTGTTAGAATTTCCGTCCTTTTTTTTTAAACTTTTTAAAAATGTTTTGTTTTAATTTATTTTTGAGAGAGAGAGAGAGAGAGACAGAGTGTGAGTGGGTGAGGGGGAGAGAGAGAGAGGGAGACACAGAATCCGAAGCAGGCTCCAGGCTCTGAGCTGTCAGCACAGAGCCCGACACGGGGCTTGAGCCCATGAATTGTGAAGTCGTGAGCCGAAGTCCACTGCTCAACTGACTGAGCTACCCAGACGCCCCCTTCCTTTTTTTTTTTTTTTTAAGTTTATTTATTTGTGAGAGATGTGAGCAGGGGAGGGGCAGAGAGAGAGAGAGAGAGAGAGAGAGAGAGAGAATCCCAAGCAGGCTCTGTATTGTCAGCACACAGCCTGACGTGGGGCTCGAACTCCCTAAACTGTGAGATCATGACTTGAGCTGAAACCGAGAGTCCGACCCTTAACCGGCCGAGCCCCCCAGGCACCCCAGAATCTCCTCCCTTTTTCCGGGTGCACAGCATTCCATCGTGTGGGTACATCACATTCTGCTTCATTCTGTCACCCCTTGCCGGGCACCTGTGTTGTTGGCCACCTTTTGTGAATCGTGCTGCTGTGGAACATGCGAATGCGAAAGTTGACCGCGTAAAAAGCCTCGCCTCAGGCTCTTCACCGGTGTTAGAAGCAGGCGACCTGGGGCCCCACTGCTTTTGCCCTTGTGCGGGGCGGAGGGTCGGCTGTCCGCGGAGCCCGCTGTGTGCCCGGCTCTGGGCTGGAGACCTGGTGTTCATCATTTCACCCTTCCAGGGGCCCTGACATTTTGGGGAAACAGGCTCAGAGGGGTCACTGGGTCTTGCCTGGGTCACAACACTAGCAAAGTTGGGGGGATCCCCCCCACCTGCCTGCCTCAAAGCCGTCAGGCCCTGTCCCCATGCTACTACTCTTCACATGCCCGGGATCGGACGTGTGGTTGGTTCACAGCGACTGGGGTATTGAGAGAGAATGCGTGAGAACGTTTCGCAGAAGAGAAGACCTGGGCAAACCGGTGACCGATGGAGAGGCCGGTCTGTGGCGTGTGATGGGGACGGTTGCCCAGTGTCCTTAAGCAGGGCTGTCAAAGCAGCAGGTGCCCAGGCCCCACCCATTGAATCGGATCTTGGGTCTGGAGGCTGGAGTCCCAGGAGCAGCCGGGCGCCAGAGGAAACAGTGTGACAAGGGCAGGGGTGTTAGTCCTGGGGGTCCCCCGTGGCGGATGTGACTGCAGGCACTCTCCTGGAGGGCCTCTAGTGTGGGGAGCGAAGGATCCTCTAGGATCCGAGCCCTGTGACTGTAAAGTGCGCCCTCTACCCAGCACGTGCACGCACGCACACACACGCGCACACACACACACACACAGACAGAGGCTGGTGCTGTCTAGACCCGAGGTCATGGTGCCTCCAGCTCCAAGCCTGTGGTCTGGTTTGTTGGATCCTATTGTGTGCTCTAACACCACAACCCTGGCCATTACCTGCTTGTCAGCCTTCTGTGCCCTTGAACCTGGCCGTCGACAACAGCGTTGCTTTAAATTCCGGACTTGCGTGTGCGCGTGCTGGGAGGGGCCTGCACCCCCAGATTCCGCGGCTGAGGACACAGCTCTGCCGGGAGCAGAGGGGCGCCCGCCTTTGTTAGGCCCCGTCGCTGTGATATTCCAGCTTTGTCCGTCTCAGCAGCCGTGGGAGGGTCTGGAAGCATCCAGAAGCTTCCGAGTCTTACTCGTGTGTTCCAAAGAGCAGCGAAAACAAGACTGGCAGGGCTTGGCGGGCCCGAGAAGTCCTTGGCGAGAGGGAAGAGCCGGGGGATGTATTCTCGGTTCGGAGCATTTTCCCTCGGACTCTTTCTGGGCAGCAGGCCATTTAGGAATGTTTGTTAAAGGCTCGGAGAACAGGAGTTGATTCCTCCCTGTTTCTGCTGCCAACGTGCGAGGCCACGGAATTCTGTTCTCACCAACCCTTGTTTTCCTGTCTCTTCCTGCTCCACAGTGAGCGACCTACAGGAAGAAGGCAGACATGCCATCGACTCGCCGATGTCCCCTGCCTCGGTGGACGTCCACCCCGAAGACACCGTGCTAGGTAAGGCGGGTCCTGCCGGCCCCCTGTCGTGAGCGAGCTGGCCTTCCGCGGCGTGTGCCCGGGGTTGGTGAGGCTGACAGAGGGCACCGTCGGTCGGCGTGGTCTGCGGATCTCACATCATTCCAGCTGGCGTTTGAGAGTCGGGGCTCCTGGCTCAAGGTCACGTTTAGAAAAGGCCGTAGGAAAAACTACATCTTCCTCTGAAAGTTTCCGCCTCTCTGATTTCAGGTGTGAGCTTTGTTAGCATTTAAGTACGACGAGGCCCACAGATCAGGGGCTGAGCACCCCCAAAACGATGGCCTGTTACACGCACAGTTCCCGGGGGGGGGGGGGTCCTGCCAGGGGTGGCTGGGAGGCAGGAGGGGAGAGCGGGGCCTTTCTCTCCTTGTGGGAAGGGCTGGGTGGGGCAGGGTAGGCAGGTTTGGCTCGGCGAGTTGATCATCCATGGGCTCTAGAGGCTCTCTGGAGAGGTCTGTAGCTGCCCCCGGGTGGTTAGGGACATGTGGGCAGGGGGTGTGAGAACCCATCAAAGAGGTGGCTGGGGATGGGCTCCGGGTTGGTTGGTTTGCCCAGAAAAGGCAGTCACGGGGGACTTGTTTGCCATCTTAGGAACTGGCCAGCCCGGGAAGGGGCAGTAGTATCTCTAGGTCCACAGGCCCCGAGGTGTCACAGCATTAGCGAATATACAAAGGAAGAAACGTAATTAGTACACCCCCATCTGTGCGCGAGCCAGAGCTATCCCAAAGCCACGGGCTTGCTAGGGAGGACCCAGCGAGTGGCAAGGCCCCTGCACCCACCTCCTTGGGGCCACGTCACAGCCGGCACTTGAGGAGGCGACAGGCGACGTGTTTTTCTCAACGCGCGTTTTGGGATCTGATCAATCTGAGAGGCCGTTGTGGAACATTCCGTGTATTTCCAAACCCTGGTTCAAAGGGAAGTCCTGGTCGGTCCCTCCCTCGTGGTTTCCACGACAAGGGCAGGCCAGCGGGAGCTTGTGGAGAAATGCAGACACAGGTTCAGCCTGGCAGGCTTGAAGCCCAGTGCTGGACGAGCCCCCTGAGATCCTGCTGGGGTCCACTGTGGCCCCTCTCTCTTCTTGGAAGAGTGTCACCCCTCACTGTCCTGCTTTTGGCTGTCTTCAGCCAGGCTGAAGTTGCTGTCCAGGCAGATGCTCCCGGGTGACCCTTTCCAAGGGGAACGCGGGGACTAGCTCGTGGGTCCGGAAATTAGCCTGACACAGAACAGGGTTCTTCACCTCGGCACTGTGGACATTTGGCACTGGGTCATTCTTTACTGTGGGGGCCTGTCCTGTGCGTTGTGGGTTTGAGCATCCCTGACCTCTGCCCACTAGATGCCACCAGCTGGGACGACCAAAAACGTCTCCAGACATTGCTCTAGCCCCCCTGGGGTGGTGGAGGGACTGTCAGTCCTGTTGAGAACCCTGCTTTAAACCAACAGGAGGGCTAGAAGGTTAATTGGAAACATCTGTCAGGCTGTTGTTTTGTTGATAATGCCTTGAGCTTGCCTTTGCCTGGGCCCTAACCCTCCTGTTTTGCCATCTTTATAAATAGCTGCTCTTGGGCAAAGGAGTTGGTACCCTTCAGCTTGCTTCGTCACATTCTACTCGTCCCTGAAGCTTGGGTGACCTCGATAAGGACTGACCTTGTTAGCACCTGGAACTGAGATCTGAAGGCCAGAGGGGTTGTGGAGTGGGGGGAGAGGGTGTCAGATGGACAGCAGCATGTACCAAGGCCCTGCGGCAGGCAGTGGTGAGGCTTGCTGAGGGGCAGGGGAGAGCTGGGAGGGCTGGAGTGGACAGTGCCTGGGACAGCTGGGGAAGCCAGGCTGCTGAGGGCCCCAGCAGGGACATCACGAGGGACCCCTGTGTGGTCCCCCGTATGTCACCCGGAACATCCCTCTCAAGCATCAGATCTGCACGACTCCAAAAATAGTTCTCCGCTTTGTCACGTTTTAAAATTTCCTGCTGTGAAGCCAGTTCCACTCAAAGCCGTTTCGTTCCCTCCGGCACGGACTGGGCCCCAGGAGCCTGGTCATTGTCACCTGTGTGTCCTGCGGGCCCACCCCTGCCCAGGCCCCGAGGCCTCCCTCTCCGCTTCCCCCGCACGCAGCCAGCCGTGCCTCCCACACCCCCTCTCCTTCCGGGCCCCGGTCGGTTTTGTTCTGCTTTGTGTCCGGCCCCCGTGGATCTTCCTTATTGTCACATGAGTCCCTCAGGGGCAGCTTGCTGGGCCCCAGCGTCCTTCGATCAAGGCCTGAACGTGGAGCGAAAACAAGTGACAAGTAAACAGAACAGGGATGAACACGTTTTATTGTGAAACCTCACCCACCGTCACCCACACTTATTTTCGCGATTTTTTCCTAATTTTTTGGTCCGTACTGTTTTACATAGTGGTGAGCTTTCTCGGCATACGTATCTATCAACAGTGGCTGCGGGGAGCTCTTCCCACAGATCCGATTCGGGCCGTGTGCGTGCCGTCCTCTCCCTTCGTCCCCAGCCAGGGGCGGCTTCCTGCTTCCCGTTCAGGAAGGGGCCGGGCCCATCCACCTCCCAGAAGTCGGCTGCCCGCTCCGGCTCGTGTGACTTGACGTGGCACGTGCGGGGCCAGTGGCTCTCTGCTCTCAGTCCGTCTGCCCCGCTTTGTGCGAGGGGAGCCGGCCGTCCCCCTGCCCTCGCACGCCCACTAGTGCTGACCGTGACTCTTTTCCCCGGCAGAGGAGAATGAGGAACGCACAATGATCGACCCCACGTCCAAGGATGACCCCAAATTCAAGGAGCTGGTCAAGGTAAGGAGCGCCTCGGTTAGCACGTTCCATTCGCGCTGCTGGGCTGCATCGGGGGGCAGAGGGTGAGGGGCTGAGCCCAAAAGATGGTCCCCGGGGTCAGGGAGGCAGTGATGGCAGGGCGGGGGGGGGGGGGGGCGCGGGGACTGCTTCTGAGCCACGGCGGTGCCTTCTGCGTCCTCCGCCTGATTTTCTGAGCTCCGGCTCAGCGGTGAGGCCGTATTTGTGGCATTTGTGTGTGTCCTCGTGTGGACTGTGGTTTTGACTGCTCTGATCTAAACCACAACAGGGTTTCGAAAGGCAATCCTTCTCACTTTGAGCAAAGGCTCGGGGCGCTGACAGCGTGCTCCCCGCCCCGGGAGACCCGGCTCCGGGCTGCCTGGGCAGCCGTGGAAAAGGTTTCTCTTCTGCAGCTCGAGGTCGGCTCGGGTGACCCCCGCAAGGCGCTGAAAACACCGTGCACGGCCAGGCCACAGACATAGTCTATTAAAAGCGCCCCTCAAACACGTTTCTCCACCTCAGCCTCCGCCGTCGGACCCGAGGTGCCTGCTACACGGCCGTGTTCTCACGGGGGCTGACGCAGAATAAAGAGAACCTTGGCAAATTGTGTCCTTTTAAAAACTGACCTTGAAGATGTCCGTTTTAGGACCCACCCCCAAGTGTGGATTCTTAACAACTTAAATGGCCTAGTTTATTTTTTTGAAGAAGTTTTTTCTCCCATCCCACACAAGAGAATTGGTGAGAAAAGTGACCCTCTCTTTCAGCCCCCCAAGACGTTATTACAGGGGATATCGAGGTAGTGGAAAGGGTTCGGCTTCTCCGGAGAAACGGAACCAACAGAATAGAGCCATCCGTCTCTCTGTCTGCCTGCCTGCCTGTGTATCTCTGGGACGTTTATTGTGACAAATCGGCTCACACGATTAAAGTCCCACACTCTGCCGTCTGCAGCCGGAGACCCAGGAAAGTGGGTGCTGTCGTTCCAAGGCCAGCGAGCTAGGAGAACTGAGGACAGGGGTTGATGTGCAGAAGAGGATGATTCCAGCCTTCCTCCACCTTTTCGCGCCATTCGGGCCCTCCTGTGGATCGCGGGAGGTCCCCTCTGCAATGGGGAGGCTCCTATGCTTTGCTGGGTCCTCCAATTCAAATGCTAATCTCTTCTGTTAACACCCTCCCGGAAGGACGGAAGCACGGAAGGAGGGAGGCAGCCAGAAGGAATGTTGAATCAGACCTTCGGCTGCCCACGGCTAGTGAGGTGCGCCTTCACTAACTGTGAATTAAGCTGCGAATCTCCACAGGAGATCGGCCGCGTGGCCGAGCATCGACTGGGTGTTGTTCCAAAGCCGTGGCCAGCTCCTTGGTGCCCCTGCCTCGCCCCCCTTCTGGTCACTCTTGCTGGTCTGGGGTTGCGTCCCCCGGCAAGGGAGCAGCAGCGAGCTTGGCCCCGGGCGCTCTTTCTGGGCAAAAGGGGCTCGAGTGCAGACTTAACGCAGGGGTCTTGGTTTGAGAGAGGATCCTGGGATGCCCGGGTGGGCCCAGTCCCGGCACAAGGGTCCTTAGAAGAGGGGGAGATTCGACCACGGGTGTAGATACAACCTGATGATAGGAAAGCAGGTGCTGCATTGCGGGCTTGGAAGGTGCAGGAAGGAGCCGTGTGCCAAGGAGTGCAGGCGTCGTCTGGGAGCCGGTGAAGGCGAGGAGACGGATTCTCCCCTGGAGCCTCCAGAAGGAGCTGGCCCTCCCACCACCTTGACCCGTGGAGCTGATTCTGGACTTCTGACCTCTGGGGCTGGAAGGGGATAATACGCGGGTACCGCGGAGGTCATTTGTTAGAGCAGCCATAGGAAACCTCGTCCCCAGCCTACGTCACCTCCCTTCCCCAAGGTGCCTCCTCCTGGCTACAGCTGCCGGTTCGTCCCCCAGTCCCCCCTGGGTCACTCTGTCAGTTCCTGGAAGGGCCAGCTGCGAGACGCTTCGATGTGGCCGTCCCGCCAGCTTGGAGCACACGTGCCAAGAGATGGGCCATTTCCGGAAGGTTCCGCCTGCTTTCAGGCTGCAGGCAGCATCTCGAGGCAGGCTTGGGGGAGTACTTTTTACTTCCTCAAGCGTTTTCCAAATAAGCGTTAACACGGCAAGCGGGACGGTGGCACTGGGTGGGCATCGGCGAAACATTAGCTGCCGTGGTGGAGTGTGGAGGGGCCGACGCAAAGTGTTCGTTCTCACTAACTGCGGCCCCCCTTTTTTTTTTTTTTTAAAGTTTATTTATTTTGAGAGAGTCAGAGAGCAAGTGGGGTAGGGGCAGAGAGAGGGGGACACAGGATCTGAAGCAGGCTCCGTGCCGCCCGCACGGAGCCTGACTTGGGGCTCGAACTCGCAAACCTGAGCCGAAGTCGGATGCCCCACGGAGGGAGCCCCTCCAGGCGCCCCGGTAACCACAGCCTTTTTGACCAGAGTCGCGTGTGGGTGGCGGCGTGGGGGATGCCTGTGCTGAGCTCCGGGCGTGTGGGGTGCTGCGTGTGGGGCCCGCGTGTGTCCCTGAGTCGGGGTTCGCTTGCGTCAGCACCCGCTTCTCCTGGGAGCAGCGTGCGTGTCCGGTGAGGGGTGAGCCGGGAGGGTCACCTGCCGTCCTCTCCTGGGGCTGGAGGCCGGGACCGTGGCCTGCCCTCGGGGGCCAGCAGCCTGGGCCGCGTCGCCTGCCAGCTCCCCTCTCTGCTCCCCATGCTCGAGCCCCCGGCCTCTTTGCTGCCGAGCACGTGCCCACCCGGGTGTGAGGTTAGAGCCGCCGGTCCCCCGAGCCCACCCTCGCTTCTGATGCCAGTTATAAGTTTGGGGTCCGCAAGGCGACATGGAGGTTTGACCCCGGAAAGACTCGCACAGCTCACGGAGCGCTGCCGTGCTCTCAGCCGTGCTTCGTCACGGTGGAAGGACACAGGTTAAAACCCGCCGAGGGGGGAGGAGCTCAGGGCAGGCCCAGGAGGGCACCGTCCACTTGCCTTCTGGCGGCACCGAGGACAGCGTCACTTACTGGCGACGATATGACCGTGTGCTTCGAGCACTGCCCGCCAGGGAAGCCCCCAAGCCTCGTGGTCCGGAGTGTTTAGGGGAGCACCACCCCGTGGGCGGAACCGACTGCCCTTGCGGCCGGCTGCCCCCAGCCCTTCCGCCCCGATGGACAGAGGGTGACCCAGAGCCCCCATCCTGGGCCACGTGGGTCCCTTCTGCCAGCCCAGGCTCCCGCCCCAGCTACCCCGTCTGGCAGGATGCCCCGGGGACCTGAGGTGCGGGCCAGCCTGCGCTCTGGGCAGGGTTAGCGTCTGCACCTGTCTGGGTGCTCCTGGCCCCCAGGAGCGCTGCCCCCAGGAGCGCTTCCCCCCGGGCGCTTCGCACCTCCTTGCCCTGCCTGGTCTCCTCCCCTCCGCTCCCTGTGGCCTGGCACCTGGCTTTTGGTCTGGCCTGTCTTCTGCTGGGTCCCCAGGGCCTGGGCGTGTGCCCGCACACAGCGATGCCGATCCGCACTTGCAGGACGGGGAGTGAACCGACGGGGGCGGGAGGGGGGGGCCCCAACGTGTGGGTTTGCGTCAGAACCACTGCCGAGGGCGTGCGGCTTCGGGACGACCCACGTCTCCTTGCCCTGTCCCAGCCCTGCAGGGTCGGAATCTCGGGAAGGGGGCTCTGGGAGCACGGGGCAGGGGGCGGGGGCGCTTGTGGATTGGACGCTGACACGGGGGGGGTCCCCGGAGTACGTCCTGGGAACCGGGCGTGTGGACGGCCGGTCTTGGTGGTCCTGCGGAACGCCTCCATGCCCTTGACCTTCGTGATTCTTGCTGCTTTCCAGACCCCCTTTCTGCACCGGGGACTCGCCTGGTCCAAGCCTCTGGTCGATCATGTCTGAGGAGGCCTCGGCAAAGGGCACCTGCCCGTGGTTCTTTGCAGGGATTTGGCTCAGAACCGGGGTTTTTGGTGGGGAGTGTGGACCACGCGCAGGCCTGAGCGGGTCTGGGGTGAGGTCCGCTGGCCACGTCCCAGTCTGGGCACCCGAGGGACCCTTCAGCGGAAGTACGGTCAGCCCCCTCCTTTCCTTTCTCCGTTCTCCGTCATCTGGTCTTTTTCACCTCTTGTCTTGACCCCTGTCCTGTCTTCCTCTGTGGAGTTGGCCCCGCCAACCTGCTGCCGCGGAAGTGTCACCGTTTAAGATACTGTGAGCTGCCCTCTGCTTCCTTATAAAAGACAAGCCTGGCTCGGGCTAAGCCAGCTCATAAGGACGAGGCTGTTCGTTCAGAAATTCTCTTTGAGCGTCTGTTGTGCATAACGCAGTGTTAAGGGGCAAAGGTGGGCTTGGAGTCTGGCCTCCTCCATTCACATCCCGGCCCGGATTAAAGCGGGAAACGTGGCATCGTGACCGTGACGGAGGCTCCGTTATCGCCGTGTGGCAGGTGCTGGAACGTGAGCGCGTCCCGGGCGGTGCGGGCATGGGAGCAGAATGGGTGGGCCTGCGGTGGGAATCGGGGAGTGGTCACGAGCCTTCCCTGGGTTCAGGAGCCCGACAGACCTCCCGCAGCTCTCTGCTGGTGTTTTGTGCCGCAGTAATTTTCTCTAGCGCCTTCCGGAAAGCTCCCCGAACTGCTTAACGGGGCGAACGGCTTGCGTGGCCCGGGAAGATTGCGGCTTATATAGATGAGACGCTTTGTGTTTTGAATGGTCCTCGAAAGAGAGAGCACGGCAGCTGCCATGCTCTCCCGGAACAGACGGCCAGAGAAAGGCCTGCCCCCCGGGAAGCCACGCTGGTCCGAGGCGACCTGGCCACTTTCCTCCCCATGAGCAGATTTCACCTCATTTCCTGGCCTCTCGGACGAGACTCTTGCTGCTTGTTGAGTTCTGTTTCCTTCCTCCCTTTGTCCCCGTGAACAAAGCGACTGCAGATCAACGGTCTGGGCGGAAGGCAGTGCCGTGAGAGCCAGAGCCGCTCGGAGACGCCCCTGTGATGCGTCCTGGCCCTGCACCCAGCT